CCGACCTCATTTGACCGTAAGTACCTGGGGCCCACACATGAAGTCAAGTCGTCCCCGTGAGCGGCTTAGGTACAAGAGCGGCGCCTGCGCACCCGCAAGCTCAGGCTCTGGCGGAGGGAGATGCCTGGGGCGGCTGAGTGGGCTGCCCTGTGCGCGGCGGCCAGGCAGAGGCACAGCGGCACGGGATCGCATCCAGGTGGGGATGGAAGCACCGAAGGCACGCACGGAACAGGGACGCCAGGGACACACAGACGCCTCGCGTGGCTCACAGGAGCGTGCCACCCTGGGGCTGGTGAGGGCTCCAGGAGCACGTGAGACCGTCCGTCCTGAGCCAACCTCCAAAGACGCAAGGCGGCTGCAAGCCAGGAAGGAGATGGTGCCCTCCAGGTGGGGACCGGCCAGGGAAGTGGCCAACGTGACAGCGGCCTGGACCGGCCACAGTGCAAGCTGTAGCTAGGAAGGGGGGGGTTGCGGGGGAGGGGGGTTGCGGGGGGGGGGGTTGCGGGGAGGTGGCTAACAAGAATGCAGCCACGGACACCCTGTCAGGTGCCCCGATGAGCAGCTGGGACCATCACCTGCAGGCAGTGGGTAGCTATTAAAGGTCTGGGGACGCTGCAGAGTAGAAAGGTAAGATTGGAAATGCAGCCTCAGACACCGCAGCAGAATTTTCTAAGAACCAGGGTCAAAAAACATGCAGAAATTAAAGATGGATATATTAGATGAATAAAACCAGCGGGTGGGGGAAAACACTTCTGAAAGCCTCAGTGTTCAAAGGCCGCAGTGGTGTAGAGGATGGGACCTGAGCCCCCGGGTGGACGGTATCCAACAGGAATAGGAGCTGGGGGCTTGGAGCATCTCCCCTAGGACATCCTCTGAGGAGCCTGACCCAGCCTGTGCCCAGCCAGAAGGGGCGAGAGAGGTGGTCAGCAAAGAGAAACACCAGTGCTTAAACCCGTCAACAGCGGCCGCCACTCAGTTTGCAAAGACTCTTCAGCCACAACCACAGGAGACTGCCAGCGTTGCACCCCAGCAGAGGTCATCTGCTAAAGAAGGTCCTCTGCCTGGCCCAGGGGGTGCAGTGCCGCTCAAGTGCACAGTTGGCGCTTTCAGGAACACAAAAAGGAAAAAAAAATTGACAGATGAAGCATGAGACTTATTCAGATAAAACTCCCGATTATGGTTCAGATAACGTTACTTTAGACCCAATAAAATCTTTTTAGATTTAGTTTACTCTTTTTACATGATGGCTAATATTCATCATGATTTCATGACTCTTCCTGAAAATACATTGATATAATTTTTTAAAGTGGAAATTGTGCACTTTCACATACATATGAAAAGCCAAAAAGAAAGAAATTTTTCTCCAATTTTCAAATTCATACAAAGGTTACTAGTATCAGCCCTAATTATGCTACATTTTCATTGGGTCATTTAAAATGCTTTTTAAAGTGAAATAAAATAATGATGTTAATAATAATACCTTATGTCATTTCTTAAATATATTTTAGTTTAAAATATTTCCTAATTTCTATTTGAGTTTCTCCTTTGACCTATAATTACTTGGAGGTATATTAATTTCCAAGCAGTTAAGGACTTCCTAGTTATTTGATTTGAGCTTAAACCAATTGTGCTCAGAAAAGAAACTGAGCAATTTCAATCTTGAAATCTGTAGGCACTCCCTTTAGGGGCCAGAACATGATCTATTTTGATAAATGTTCTGTGTGTACTTCAAAGATAGAGAATTCTATTTTTGCTGGATTCGGCATCTACATATGTCCATCAACTCAACATATTCTATATTCTTATCAGTTATTTTGTTTGTTCTGTAAGCAGGGAGTGTATTAATATCTTCCATTAGGGTGGTAGATTTATCTTGTTTTTTAAATCTATTTTTACTTTATGTACTTAGAACTTATGTTATTTGCAACATACTGACTTAAGACTCAATACTTATTGGGTTGAATCCTTTATCATTAATAAACCCCACTCTCCATCTCAAGTAGCATTACTGGGTAGCTTGTCTAACAACCTAATACCAATTAGGTTTGGTTGGTGGGTGTATTATATATAGACCCTCTTCCTCCTTCTGTTAAAAATATTTTTCTTATAAATGGGATATGACAGGGTTTTGCTTCTTTATCCAGTCCGAAACCTCAAGTCTTTTACTTGGTGATTCTGGTCCATTTACATTAAATGTATTTACGGCTATGATCTTACTCTGCTTCGTTTTCAGTTTAACCTATTTTTATGTCCCCCTTGTATTCCTTTATTACCTTTCTTGATGAATCAGTCGTTATGTTCCATTTTTCTCTTTTAATTGTTTGATGTCCACACTTTGTTTTTCTTAGCAGTTACCCTAGCGATTACAATCCCCACCCTGGCGGGACTGGTCAGTCCAACACTAACCCTCATTTGACTACCCCTCCACCATCTTAGAACCTTAAGGCACTTCAATGTCATGCACCCCTCTTGCCTTTGGTGAGACAGTCATTTTGTTCACATATTCACTCTGGGGAGGGGAGCCACTGTTCGGTAGTCAGCTCATCCGTGTTTACTGATGTGTTCACCCTCGTGTGCCCCCTGCTCCTCCCTCCAGAGCTACCAGGTTCACCTCCCTCCTGCCCCCAGTTCCTGTCTTCAGGGTACTTGGTGATGCTGGCCCCCACTGACCCATCCCCTCAGGTTTTATTAATTGAACATATTTTTATTTCACTTTCACTTTTAAAGGAGATTTTTGCTGGCTGTAGAATTCTAGGTTGATCACTGGTGGTTTTATAGTTATTTCTCCTCACCCAGGTTGGCCCAGGTGGGCACAGCTGAAAAAATTTCAATTATGTAATATATAATGTTATTAAAATAAGAATATAATTAGAACATAACAACTCATATATAGAGGAGCTCTAGATTATGATTTCTAACCTGTTTGATCTAATGCACCTGTGTCAATTTTGTTACACTATTCACAAAACTGAAAACTTGGGACTTAAGAGTAACATGTTCCTTCCTTGTTCTGGGCTTGGGTTGCTTTTAAGATTTTTCTCTGGATAAATGTTCATGGCCTTAAACTGGTGTGTAAAGATACCTCTCCTTTGTAATTGATTCTGCTTAGAGTTTCCTAAGTTGTTTTTTTTTTGGGGGGGGAGGGGATACCAATGATTGAACCTAGGGTCCCTCAACTATTCAGCCCCCTCCCCAGCCCTATTTTATATTTTATTTAGAGACAGGGTCTCACTGAGTTGCTTAGGGCCTCGCCTTGGCTGAGCCTGGCTTGGAACTCGGGATCCTCCTGCCTCAGCCTCCTGACCCAGTGGGATTACAGGCCTGTGCCACCGCCCCCAGCTCTAAGGTGTTTTTTGTTGGTTTGTTTTAGCTGTAAGAAGCTGCTTTGTGTCGTTTAGTAAAACTGTCAGAATTATCTTACTGTGAGTGTTGTTAGTGTTTTTCTTATAAACTGTGTACGACAGAATTTCGTTTCTTCATCCATCTGAAAGCAGGTCTACGTCGGGGGGGTTTAGTCTGTTTATAGTAAGGGAAAGGAGACGGAGAGGTGTGACCTTACTCTTCAACCACCGCTTCTGCCCTGTTCTCTTTTTTCGGGAACTCCCATTCTGACTGAAGCAGGCCTTTGAAGCAGATCCCACCTGGCTCTAATGGTCTTACCTATTTCTTTTTTTCTGTTACCTTTCTCTCTCGGCTTTGCTGGGTGGTACCTGCTGACCTGCTTCCTGTCGACTGGTCGTATCTTGTGTGTGACGTCCCCACTGCTGAACCCCGACATTAAGTTCTAACTTCAACACTGCACTTTCTGAGAACGACCATTTGATTCTTCGTGATAAATTCCCATTGTGCTGAATTAAACAGCCCTCCGTCCCCACTGCCCGCCTTTTCCTCTATCTTCTGGACCATCGTATTCACAGGAATTCTGGAGTGCCTGTCAGTTGGCCCTGGTCCCCCGCCATCTGGGGGTCTGCTTCTCCTGGTCTCTCCTCTTAGTGTGTCTGTGATCTGCCTGTATCCTGGACACTGTGACATCTTTACATGTCATCATCTTACATCTGCACATAAAGACGAGGTCCTCTTCCTAGGGTGGGGGAGGGGCGCATCAGCCATCATACAACCGAGCTGGGGGGTCTGGGTCACCATCTTTGTGGAGCCCACCTGCCCCTGGGTGGACCCTGCCCCGGGCATGGCCCACCGTGGGCCTCAGCAGGGGATTCTGCCTCCTCAGCACTAGAGTCTGCTTCTCCCTGGAGAAGTTCCCAGCTCAGCTCTGGGCCTCCAACCCTCAGGGGTGTCTTGGGAGGGAGACTCGGCCTGGGCTTGGGGTCCTCCCGTCTCACATGGTTGTCAGTCCGGCCAGAAACCTCTCCTGGCCCGCCTCCCAGAAGCAACCTCCTGCCACCAGGAGCCAGGGCTGAACCCTCACCTGCCCGCTGCACCCCAAGCCAAGAGCTGACCCACAGGCCTCTCCTGCGGGTCCTCCTCTTGCCTGTTCTGTGTTCAGCTCCTCCCCTCCGCAGACGAGAACGTCCTCAGCTCTGAAAGGCCAAGTGCCTTTTCATTGTGCCTTCTAGAAACTTCTGCCCTCTCCCCTCAGTGCCCTGCAGGCTCACATGTGACCCAGCCTTGGTGGGGAAACCAGCTGTGTGTCTCAGGACTGTCCCAAGTCCCTGGTCTGTTACTCCAATTTGGAGCTCTCTGCCTCTGCTCAGGGCTCCAAAATCAGCTCCCCAGATGCCTGATACCCCCGGCACCTCTAGAGGAGCCCGCTTCTCGGGGACTCGGGTCCAGCTCTTCTCTGCACCGTGGGGCTCTAGAGCCTGAAGGCACACACCCGGCTCTCCAGGTGTCCTGGGCGTCTCTAAGGAACCCCAGGCCCGGCCGGCCGGCTGCTTTCCTGGATCTCTGCGTGGGTGAGGTGTCGGCATCGCAATACTTTCCAAAGTACAGTTGAAATATGCTTTTGAAGTGAAAGCATCAGTAAAACGGTCACTTCTTACCTCTTCATAAAACTTCACCTGAGGGACAGCTTCATTAATTTCATTCAAACAAAAATCTTTAAATAGCAAGAAACCTAAAGGAAAAGAATAAAAATATTCAGGGTGGGGAACAATTTTGAAATTTTACCCCAGAGGGTGTCTTCAAACTATTGAGTTTCTCTCTC